TTGGTTTTTAATAAACTATTTTAACCCAAAAAAGCCACAGTCGAATAAAAACAACAAAATAATTATAAATTTTAATCATTTAATTAATAAATTTTACGTACTTCACTTTTTTTTTTTTTTTGAATTTACGGTAAAATCAAAGAAAACACAAGAAAAGAGAAAGAAGGTAGGGCAAAATTAAATTGTTGCCAATATAAACTAAATATTCCGTGTGCAATATTATTGCGAGGACCACAAATTATGCTACATTTGGAATTGAATGATTTTGAGAGAAAAAATTCCCGAGAAAGTGAATTCTGTCAATGCAAATACCTAATTCCCATTAATGCAACTCTATTTCTAGGCAAGTCACCATCTCACCATCTTTCTTATTATTTTCAACGGCGTTTTTTTGTGACGTTTGTAGTATCGCCGTAGATGTTTTTAATGGCGCTTAAAAACGCCGCTATAGTAAAAAAATACCACAAAAAACCATTTTTGATGTAGTGTTCTTTGAAGCTATTATTATGGATCATAATATTAAGTAATCAACATTATATTACAATTTGATGACACCGTTTAATAAATATGTCCAAGAAAGAACTCATCAAGTGGTTTCGATGATTAAATGAAGTATTGTTCTTTCTAGAAATTATGGGTTCGAACATATGTATCTATGAGTATGTAAGCATTGTAAATGATTAAGAAATATTATGAACATATACTACCTTATAATCACCATAAAACTATTAAGTTGAAAAATATGTCAAGGAAAAAGTTTAAAAAAAATATCATGATGGTCCTTAGAGAAGATGATGGTAATTTTTGTGCGTGTGTCTATATACACATACGCGCACGCGCGCGCATATATATATATATATATATATATATATATATATTATTCTCTGTTGAGATGGTGAACTTTTTTATTCAAATGATCGAACCCTTGATTGTAAAATAATGGTATTCGAATAAAGATTTAATTTATAAATTAACTCTTGAATTATACTTGTTTACTCATTATAATTCCTGAACTTTCTTTTGAAGTTGAAAAAAATTGTGGGTAAAATGAGACAAATGATAACTCATGTGTCAAAGTGTGCCAACAAAATTATATATTAAGATGGGAAAATGGGTATAATTTAGATCATTGTTATTTTAATATAAGGTCGACTCTATTAAAACCATATTCAATAAATAACAATAGACATAAGTTGAAACGATAAAATTCAAAAAATGTGTGTTGCATAAAATGTATCTTTCTCATTTTGATCGGTTATCGCACCTAAGGAAAATGAGTGTCACGTAAAATATACTTTTTGACAAGACACCTTCACTCTACGTAACATAAAAATATATCATTTTTATAAATAATCTATAAAGTGTTATAATCATAAATAAAAATAAAATAGTATTTTTAATGGTATGTGATTATTATAATGTAATATCCATTCAAGAAAATTTTAACTAATTAATAACACATATTTTACAAACACGGCTACTCAAACTGACATCTTTTTGAGAAAATATTATTATTTTTTATCACTGAATTCGTTTAATGAGTTCAATAAAATGATATATTTAAATATAAAAAAACCCTTTATTCCTGTATGGAAGTAACATGTAAAAGCAATCAATTTGAATTTGTTTTTGTATTATCATTACCAGTTTGCAAAGCAAGTCCATACATATGACAGCGATGGCATTGGCAATTTGCCAATTGGCACTAACCAATTATGTAGTGTAAAGATCCCACATGGTAGGGTCAGGGTCCTCAGATGTGGCCTCCGAGGGCCTGTTAGAGGACAATTCCCAATGTAGAAACTGTGCTTCCAAGCTTTATAAAATTGTCTTGGATAAGTCCCAGAAGGTATTCAATAATATGAAAGGCATGTTAGGCTTACTATTTTTTTATTTCAATTATTATATACTAGAATTCAATGTCAGTGAATCAGCAAAGAACAATGTCTGGCTGGGGTTTCAGTTCAACTTTAACAGTAAAAAAATGCAACTTCATTCAGCCATTCAGGAAGCTACCCCCACAGTCATAATATTGTATGAACATGAAAATGATCATAATATTGTTGTAACTTATCATCCTTTAAATAAGATTTTAAGTTCGAATCTTATGATAAAATAAACCAAAAATTCACATTCTAAAATAAGGTCCGACTTAATTCGATTATAGAATTAGTTAAAGATCTTTTTTTTTTTTTGAAGGAAAAAACCAGCGAACATCTCTTTATTTGGCTCAAGGATGTATGTAACTCTAAAACTTATGAGAAAAAAATAATTAAATTTTTAAATTTTGTTGTATTCAATTAAATTTTCAAATCTATAAATTAAACCAATTAAATTCTTTTAACAAAAAAAAAAGTTGAATTAATGAAACCTTCGAGCAATTTTAAATGTTGAATCTTAATAATTCTTTTTCCTACGATATTATTATTATTATTATTGTGTGGAACACTTTGATTCTATCATATTAAGTTTTATATATTTTTTTAAATAAAATTGCAATGAAGAAATATTAAATTTTTGAAAATTTATTAGAAAATGATAATTTTCGAAGAATTGAGTTGGCATATAATGTGTTAGGTCAGGTATATATTGATATTAATACGAAATTATTATTATTATGTATATAACACCACTCCTTGTTGCTAAATGAAAACATCAATATGATAACGATGGGATGCACTTACGTTAGAGTTTAATTTCAAGTTTCAAGTGAATTTGATTTCATGAACCATTACTTTCATCAAACATTCTCATTTCAACCATCAATAATAATAATATAATAACAATAATAACAAATACTATTATTATTATGATAATTATTTAATACTAAATATTGTTTTTTAAAATTTCATAGATATTATAAAAAATTCATCACATGTTATTAATTAATATGTGTGTGATGAGAGATTCATTAATTGGTCGAATTATTAAAGACGTTTATGTTTTCTTATATTGTGTGAATCTGAACCCACATTTATTTCAAAAATCTAAATACTTCTATACTTAATAAAATAATATACATGTGATAAAAAATTATTATATATTTTTAATATGTTAATATAGTTTAAACTATAATGTACCCATAATATAGTTTTAAATTTTATAACAAATAAAATATAATGATTTACTCAATTTATATATGTATATTTTTTATAATTTATCTAATTACAAATAAGTAAAATATCATGATTAATATATATTTAATTATTTACATTAAATAAATTATTAAATATTTTAAATTTATTAAAAACTCAATAAACATAATATATCTTTTAGTAGGGGTGTCCAAATCTAGGTACCCGGGTCTTCGGGTAGTTGATAGAGCTGGGTATACGGGCTACCCGCTTGTTTAGCCCGCGAGTTTTGACGGTGCGAGCTTAAACGGAGCGTTTTAAAAAGCCCGCAATCATAAACGGTCTTGAATTCTAAGGTTCGCGACCCGTCCATTTAACCCGCGGGCTAAACGGACTTACCCGTTTACCGTTACTGTTTATGTGAAAAAAGAGAAAAGTTGGGGAGATAGAGAGAAACGACGGAGAAGGAAAACAAAAAAATGAGGCCATAGTTCCTAAAATTTTATAACGGCGTATATATAATATAAGTCACACAAAACAACGTATTTTAGGGATTTAGGGCAATCATGACAAGTTTTAATGTGCTAATCGTGTAAGGCTCTACCCACTTTTGAATTAATGCAATATAATCCTCAAATATAATTTATTATTTTAATTTTGCACTCCAATTTTATGTATATTTTTTATCACTGTCTCAAGTTTTATATATTATTTGCATATTTGCATATTATTTTACTTTTTCTTTTTAATTTAATTATTATATTTATATATGGTTTAATACTTTGATTTTTTTAACGTATATGTTTATAGTTTTTCTTATGATTATTTATTGGAGTATAATAAACGTTTTATGACTTATTTATATATATATTGATGGTATTAATTATAAATGGTAAATATGTATATAAAAAGATGAAAATACTTTTGCTTATGTTATCATATTACGTTACTATAGGTATAATTAATACGTTCGAACTTCAAAATTGAATATCATCAAATTAAAACGTGAATTGGGTTTCAGATTTCAGTGCACATAAAATGTGAATTAGGCTATGGCTAAAATGCACATAAAACGCAAATTGGGCTAAACGTGAATTGTCTTCCGTAAAACATAAAATAAATTAAAAAATAATTAAATTAAGCGGCTACCCACGGGTAATACCCATTAAACCACGGGTTTAATGGTCCGGGCTAATAAGCCTGCAATTTAAACGAGCTTTATATTTTGAAGCTCGAAGCCCGTACTGGCCGCGGGTTATACGGGTAGCCCGCTGGCCTTAACCCATATACTCAGCTCTAGTAGTTGATTGGTCGACTCGTGTGTCGACCCGGATGTTGTGGTACCAGTAATTCGAGTATTCGAGTATTCACTTTTTTATTATTTTCAAATTATTAATTTAAAAAGAACCTACAACTTATTTTATTAAATAAAATATTATATTAATTATTAAATAAAAATAATTGTAATCGAGTACACGAATAAATATAATTTTGTGAATTCGATCCGAAAAATATCAGGTCAGATACCTAGCCCAATCAAATAATCTTTTTTAAATAATTATCCGATTTTTTTAATTCGGGTCATCGGATCAACCGGATGTGTCAACTTAGTCGGGTAATTTTGAATATCCATATCTTTTAGAGTTAAATATTTTTAATTTACACACTAAAGTATACTAAACCGTAATTTTGTTGGGGGAAGGGGAGAGAATTGGAAATTTGTCAGAGAGAGAGAGAGAGAGAGAGAGAGAGAGAGAGAGAGAGAGATCAAACCGTCGTATAATCGACATATTTCCCGATGGAATCTCAAAGCTCCGACGAAGAGGATCAGTTATTCGACGCACTTGACGACTTCCTCTTTTACGATTGCCTTACATGTGACCAATCAGAGCCTTCCACGTCTCACGCTCCGTTACGTTACCTATATCAGTTTTGAGTCACGGTTGCATGTTTATTATTGATCCTTTTCAAGCTTTCAGCCATGGTAGAGCTTATATAATCACAAAGTTGTTAAATTTATGGGATTCGATTTGTGGGTATTTTGGTCCTATGATGAATGAATGCATGAATTATCATAAATTAAAATGGAACCTCCTGTTTCGATTCGGCTTGGGAATGTTCTTTGCTACATATGTTGGCTGCGTTTTGTTTGGATTAATGTTAACTTCACTTGCTACTAGTGGGGTTCTGATGAGGTATTTGGTGGAGGAACCATTGGAGATAGAGGAAATGTTGAACATCAGTTATACTAAGAGTAGTCCGGTTGCATTGGTTCCGATTGTATCTTGTGCTGCTGTCGGTTGTGATTCGAACTGTATGGAGAAGATAGTTGTTTGGAAGAATGTGGGTCCCCGAGTAATACCGATGGATCACAAATTGAGGGTTACAGTTTCTTTGACATTGCCAGAGTCAGAGTACAGCAAAAATCTTGGGATGTTCCAGGTATTTGTTTGATTACGGAATGCAGAGGTTGATATTATTTTCATGTTATTTTACTTCTTCATTTATGGTTTACATTTTATATCTAGAAACCGAATTTATAGCTCTGATTGTAGTTAATGTTTGGTTACATTCTGTACCTTTTAATCTACTTATCATATAACATGTTAAGAAGTAACTTGACATAGGAAGTTAGTAAATTGTCTTGTTGTGGCACTCGGAGTGTCAAGAATCTGGCAATTTCCCCCCCCCCCAGGTTATTTACCTCTTGAGCAGGTGGAAACTGTGCAGCCAGTATGTTTGCAGGAAATTATAGTATTGCTAACCTACTTCAGGGAATATTGTAGTATTCTGCTTCTTATGTTAGAATGTTGATAGGTTAGTGGCAACCTAATACCATAAGAATGTTCTAGAATAAGTAGGATGATTTTCCGGAGATTAATCAATTGCGTATTAGCCACATGACCTTAGTCTTGGACCACTCGTCTCTTCTCTCCATTACTTGCATTCTTTTTCTGTGTATTACATTCTCATGAACATTTCTATCTCATATGTATTAAATAACGTAATACAATGATTGAGTTTGATGTTAATTTGGCTGAAAACTGAGTCTTCTTCGTGAGTAGTGGATTTCATTTAGCTTTATCAGTAAATTAACCCATGATTTTTTGTAGTTAACAAATCGGTATATGATGACTTATATCGTTTTTCTTTTTGAAGGTGAGGGTAGATTTCCATTCTATTAAAGGTGAAACTCTTGCCAGCTCAAGCCATCCATGCATGTTGAAATTTAGAAGTGAGCCTATCTGCCTTTTACCGACATTCTTCAAGGTTGCTCCTCTAATCACCGGCTACACTTCAGAAGCAGACTTTGAATCTGAAGATTAGAGGTTTAAAGGAAGGAACCGTACCTACTGCTTGCCTAAGGGTAATACTTGAACAACGAGTGGAGTTCAGACCGGGTGCTGGTATTCCTGAATTATACGATGCGTCCCTTATCCTTGACTAAGAACTTCCTTTTATCAAAAGAATCTTATGGTATTGGAGGAGAACTATTTTCGTATGGGTCAGCATGGCATTGTTTATGACACAGGTACTGTTTACATTAGTTAATTGTAGACATTTACTCATTCCAAGGAAACGGACCAGAGATGGTTCTTCTAGGAGCGCGTCTACTCGGAATAGTCAGCAAGCACTGCAGAGCTGAAGTTAATAAAGCACTGCAGAGCACTTTATTTTTTTCAACCCTTTTGTGCATGAAAACTCAACTACTTCCTATGTAGTTGATGAGTAACTGATTTTTTGGCTGATTAGTGGTTGCCTAGATGAAGGAAAGCAACTTTTTTGCCTAGCTTTAGTTACCATGTTGTTACCTAGGTTTATCATGAACAAGATCTCACTTGTGTTTCATGTTTACAACGTCTGTCTCGTAATTCTAATAATGATGACTAATGTCGATATCGAAAAATCAAAATTAGTTTTTTCAATATAGACGCATATGTGACTTTATTTGATTAATCAATAGTAGATTTCCATGCAATGTAGGAATCATGTGCTTGTTGAACATGAAGGCTCCTCAGTAGGGATGGCAAACGGGTACAGTTTTGTGGATTCCGCACCGCATCCGCTCCAATTGGAGCGGGGATGGGTATAATTTTAGCGGGTAGTGGGCGGGTGTAGATTTATAAAGTGGTACCCGTCGTGGGTGGTGGGCGGGTAATGAGTTTGAGACATTACCCGCCCGCATCCGCCCGCTCCACATCCGCCCGCCCAACTAAATATCTATTAAATTTTGGACCATAATGAATTTAGGTGTAATTTTATAGACTAATTTATAAATTTTAATATTGTATAATATATAACATATAATTTAACCAAAATATTAAGGATATTTAGTCTTTAATATGGTCTTTAATTAGGGAAATGTTCGGCTCTTTGATTAAACCCATAATCTCACTAACCACGCCACTTTCCATGTTCTTTAGCCCATGCTACCCATACAAATACAAATTAGCCGTACTATAAGCATTAACATCAAAAACAGCAGTTTCCATGTTCTTTAGCCCCTCAAAACCCATATTAGGCGCACTATGAGCATTAACATCGAAAGCAACTCAACAATCCAGCTCTGCGACTACATGCTCCCTACAATCTGTCTCCATAACATTCATAGAGCCACTCCTCTGACAAATTGAAGCATGCGTTGCTACCCCATCACGAACTGTCTGGGAACCAACTCCAACATCCCATTAGTTTGTTGTCAGGCGGGTCTAGATGGGTATATCGCTAGTGGGTAGTGGGTGTGGGGATGAATTTGAAAATGTACCCGCGTGGGCGGGTGTGGATTTGAAAATTTGTACCCATCATGGGTGGTGGGCGGGTGGTGGATTGAAAAATATTAGGTGGGGATGGGGATGAGGGAGGGGGTATCCGCACCCGACCCGCCCGTTTGCCATCCCTACTCCTCAGTTTGAACAACCTTTCGAAGGCGGTGCATACTATGAGATGCATATGGGACATGGAGCATGGAACATGAAACATGTGATCTCAACTATATAGAGTTTTGATTTACACAAATAAAGCAAAAAAAAAACCCTTAGTTTTATAGGGTTTTAAGTAACATTTTAACCACAGTTACGTGAACTCTTGAGGGAAGAAGCACTCTTGGTTATCTCCCTCAATGGCTTGTCAGTGTACCTCACCATGTTATAAACCCAAGCACCCGACACAGCCCCGAATGTTGGCGCGGTCAGATATATCCATATCCCTCTGTAATGGTTCGACACAATTGCAGGTCCCAAGCTCCTTGCTGGGTTCATTGATGCTCCTGTAATTGGCCTGCCCATGCATCAGGTATAAAGTTGAAGTGATTAAAAAGGGTTAATTACATCATAAATCCTCAAACTATTGAATAGATTCTAAAATTAGTTCCTTCTAATCAAGTCTTCAGAGTACAAGTATTATATCAATCAAATCCTTCCGTCAAGGAAGTATTAGATATAGCCTAAGTAGGTTAAGGGAAAAGTTAAGTACCCAGCAAACATTACATTAAGCAGCACAGTGGCGCCAACGGCAAGTCCAGCAAGTTCTCCAATCTGTAAATAAATAATTACTGTTTTTAATAAATGTTATAATAAATAAATACGCCTTTTAATAGGTATTTTAGCCTAATTAATCAATGTTATAATAAATAAATACGAATTTTAATCTACTTAAAATTTGAATTTAACCTTTTAGACCTTTACCCTGTGAATTGGGTGGTCCTCTTTGTAAAAAGATGTATTGATGGGCATTGAAGGCATATGGGGTTGGCTACTTACTGCTCTGTTATCAGTTGCAACACCGGAGATAATGAACATGAGATAGAAAGTGATGATGAACTCGATTACGAAAGCCTGCAAATCCGACCCCTGCGGTGACGTTCCGGCAAACACGTCGTGTGGTCCACTAAACAACAACCTTAGAGTACCAGCAGCCAGAGTTGATCCCGTAACTTGAGCCAATATATAAGCCGGCACCTAAACAAAAAACCATTGGGAACTCCGCACAGCATGGCATTGAAATACACAAATTGCTTAATCAAGAATTTCACCTGTCTGAGAGGAAATCGTCTGCAAGTAGCAAAAGCAATGGTGACAGCCGGGTTGAAATGAGCACCGGAGATGTGACCGACCGAGTAAACCAAGACCATCACGGCCAATCCCCACACTATCGAAATCCCCGGAAGCGAAACCACTTTCTCATTGTTTACGTTCACTACCACGGATGCACAACCGGCGAATATCAAGAAATATGTGCCCAACAACTCGGCCATCAGCTACAAATTCATCATCATCATATCAATAACATAATATATAAAAAGATGGATAGATAAATAGATGGGTAGATGCCTTTTGTATGAAAGATACAGATAAACCGATGTCGGAGATCGAGTCTTTTCTTTTAGGAGCCGATGGAGGAGGAAGATGAGCATTGGTTTCACCATTTACATTCAAAACCACTTCTTGGTTTCCATTAGTGCAATTGTTCTCAGCCATGACAAGAAAATCAGTACCAAAGAAATAAACCCAAAACAAAGTAGAACAAAAAGACAGAAAGATCGCTTCTTGTGTTACGCTTTTGTCTTCTCAACAACCAAGGGAACAAGAGTTCTGCAATAACCTATCAAATTAAGGCAATATAAGGGTCAGCTTGGATAATTAAAAAAAGAAGAAAAAAAATGGATTTTTCAATAGAGAAAAGAGAGATTTGACTTTGAACATATTTATTTTATGCTATATATATATATATATATATTATGGACTTTGGAGATAACGTTGAAAAATGGGACTGTATGAACAGAGAGAGCAAAGCATTGAGAATTCATGATTCTAAGTTCAACTACTCACCGGTTATACAGAAAGTCGTGAATGCCAACATGTAGATGGTAAAGGTTTCCATTCAACAGCGTAAATTTTAGGGTTTGATCCAGTTTTGGGAAAAGTTTTATGTAATTATTTGCGCCATTTATGTCCATATATATATTTGATGTTTATCTTTAGAGTATAATGATTTTATCATATATTTGTGTCATGTCCGTGTATATATATGTTTGGGGGGAAATTATGTCTAATCGACATTGAATTATTTATATATATATATAGCGAGAGAGAAAATTATTCTAAATACAACTTAATTTTAAGATTTGTATCGATCTTATAACTTAATTTTAAATTGATTAAATTGTGTAGATGAACTTCTATTTTGGTTTCATGTACAACATTAAACCGTGATAATGTAGTCGTTTTCTTTCTTGTTGATCTAATTTATATATTGATTTTGTTATTAAATTTTAAAATACTTCAATTTTAGGTATTGAATTTTTTTGTTGTTGGCAATTAACCTTATGTCATCGACTGTCCTTTGTGGCAAGACCAATACCAAAATATTAGTACTTCATTCATCTTTCTTCTTCTTAGATTGGTTTTTCACGAAACCGTCTCAAAAAAATGAAAATTCTTTAAAGGTTCGATGTACTAATATTTCGATCTCCTCCGATAATCATCCAATGAGATTTATTTTGAGGTATATTGTTTGTATTTTCAAAATAATACTTATCACTGTTTAGATATTCGAATAAACTGTCCAAACCTTGAAAATGATGAATTTTTTTTATTATTTTTGTGAGTTTAAAGAGATTTTAAAAAAATATAAACCAACGATAGTGGAGAACGATGAATGAGTTAAATAGTGTCTAGGATGATCTCAAAAAAAATATTAAAGAATAACAATTTTGATGACTATTAAAATAGATAGAAAAACACAACTTTGATGAAAAAGAAGATGAGATAATATATAAAAAAAAAGTTAATTTTCATGTCCGCATCAATGTTGTCATGTCATATTATTAATGGATTAATGATTTAATGTTATAATTAAAATCATAGTAAAAGTTTAATGAGATAAACTAATCTATCTAAAATTTAGTAATAAAATTATTATGAAACTTTGTGATATTTAGTGTAATTTATCCAAATATTTAAGATAAAGTCTATCTTAAATTAAGTTTTCTAAAGAAAAAAAAAGAGAGTAAATCACGCATTTCATTATTGAATAGGATAATAGAAAATTTGAATAACAAGACACGAATTCAAGTTAAGTTAAATATAATAATAATAAATCAAGTTAAGTTAAATATAATAATAATAATAACCTTTATTCGTGAAAATATTAGTAAAATTTGAATCGCATGGTATGCAAAGGGTATCTTATAGGGGATGTTGCGTGGGACTGGATGCAATTTGCGTAATCACAGCCTAGCTAGTTATGGGTAAACAAGTAATTAACACCTCAACAATATTCTAAAAATATATATGTATTTGTCCCTTTCATTCCCATGGTAGATCATCAATCTCTACCGCCTTTCGTATTCCTTCTATATCAACACACCAAATATGATATATTTGCAGTCAACGGGGAATTTTCGATAGGTACTCAACCCCCACATATATCATATATAGAGTCCAGTATAATTTTAATTTTTACAATTACGT